TGACCGAATGGGTAAAAATTACGGTTATTTTCATCAGTTACAGAATTATAGAATTACAGAATTATAACATTTATTTGAATTAATTCTCGATTGTTTGTTCGAGAGAGAGAAAGAGAGAAAGATGACAGTTGTGTGTGTGAATTACCTGCATCTGTACGTCTCTCACTACAAACAATGAAGTTGTTAGTTTAGTTACTTAAACAAAGATTTTGCCTTTTTGTTGCTGAGAAATATAATGCAGTGATCCAGTTTCTAAGCCATTTTATTAATAAAAGTAGCGGGGCAGCGTTGACAAGTTTATGTTGGCATAGTCCTGAACGTTTCTGTGTGCGCAGCGGGATCTCTCTGTCTCTCTCTCTCTGTGTGAGTGATGTGTGTGTGTGCGTTTGTGTGTGTCAATCAAAGCAGCGGCACATTAATATAGAACGGAGATTAAACTGACTTGGAACTACCTGTGCATTAAACGGTATTAATGCATATCTGCCAGCCAATCAGAATAAAGAATTCCAACAGACAATGGCATAAATGAAAGTAAAATATTCTAAGAGCACAGCAGTGCATAGTATACCTGTTGTAGCACATTGTTTACTTTAAGAGTACATGTTATGTTTAATTTAAATGTAACATTTTTATTTTAATGTAAGACTGTTTTATTTATTTTAAATTTAACAGTGATTTACTTTCAAATGCCCCAATTGCTGAAGGGTCTGCACAACCTTTTTGTACAAGTTCAAGTTGCATTGTTCAAAATACCTGTAGTAGCACAGCAGTGCATACCTGTTTACATTTAATTAAGGTAGACTAGACTAGACTGTAATACAAATAGCTGAGTTTGCCAGCTGCATGCAACATTTATGACAGGTTTTCATGAAAGTGTTGGTCAGTTTGTCTGCTTGACAATCCCATTTTGCACTGCAACAATAAAATGGAAGTGAGATAAACAAACTGAGAAATGTTTCTTTTTAGTTACAACAGATGTTACCAAAGTTTTCGTTTGGTGACATAATTTGAAGTTGGAAAAAGGTAATAAATTGCAATATATCGTAGAATATCGCAATATATTTAAAATCGCAATAATATTGTATTGTGACACAAGTATCGTGACAATATCGTATCGTGGGGCCTCTGGTGATTGCCACCCCAATCGCTTATGAGACCAAAATGTTGATGACATATACAGTCTGCCAAGTTGTTAGCGGGGAATAAAGAACATTAACCTTCACATATGTCATAGTATAAAGTTTTCAAACATGCTTTAAACAGAGATGAACAACTATAAGAATTTAAATATGTCACAAGATAATCTTTAACAATTACATTTTCATGCACCATAGGCTTAAAAATCCTATGAGAATCCATTTTATCCAACATCATTATAATAACTGAGCAAATTAGCAAAAGGAAACTAACCGTGCAAGAAAGTGCACTGTAAAATCTAATTAGTTGGGCTTACTTAAAAAAAAGCATGCAAACCGATTGCCTTGAAAAAACTAAGTAAAGTGAAATAGCAATAGTATGTTGTACTGACAGATGCTTAGTTAGTATAGCTTACTTACACGAGAGTTCTAGTAACTAAAAAAGAACTGTAGGGGGTACTTGATCCTTTCATTTAGGTTTACTCATGACTTAGTATAGCTACTCACTGACTCCCAGAGTGCATTGCGGTATGAATAAATTATACAGTTGCTTTGTTTTATAGTTGTTGATTTTATTTGACAATTTTATTTGCTGTCTCGTGTCAGTAGCAGCACAACAAAAAGAGCAAATAAAATGGCTATTGTTACAAGTAATTAAAATAAATTAAATTGAATTGTTACCATTGTTGTGGTTCACGTGCTGAATGTTTAAGTCTGTGTGTGACTTTAGCATGTTACCATACATGATTCAAAAATTATATAAATCCCCAAAAAAATCATCTCTGGGTTTTTATGAAAAAGTTTTTGATAAAGTTGATTAATGAACACACACACAATTAATGCACTAATGCTTTAATTAGAAGATAGGTCACTTACTAAAAGCAACCTATTTATTACTTTTCTTCCTTTGAAATCAAATAACTCTGACTTCATAATGCATTACTACATCAACAGGAAGATAATTATAGTAACGTAAACCAAGTTCAAAGTGCCCAACCAAAGGGACTGCTAATCACTATAATGGGGAGTTAAAAAAAACACATTTTAGGAAAATCAACATCAATTTATGAAGTTAGCTTATGTGATGTTCTTTCAAATATTTCAGTTGTATTGAGAATTCAACATTCAAGATGACTTTGGGAAACAAGTGAATGCAACTAGTGAAAGATAACTGCAGACATGGAGGAAATGAGTGAAAAGTCTATTAAGACTCGTTTTCTTTTCTTCTTCTGCTGTTGTTATGCTGCACATTAGCAACATATTAGTGCACTGCTGCCTCTCATTGGTTTATTAATGTCATTGGTTCCTTTGTGGCTACTTGAATATTTTAAGTAAGTGTCACTCAAAACAGTAAGTAAATTGTTTTATTTGCCTTGAAAGTAGCTGTAACTTAATAAAACCTAGTAAGTATAACAACTAAGTAAAGATAACTAACTAAATTTAAGTAAGGTAAACTATTGGATTTTACAGTGTGGTCATACTGAATAACCTCATCAGAGGACATGTAAAAAGAAATTATATATTGTTTTAAGTACAAGACAGAGCATCCTCAGTATACTGCTGGTCTGGAAGCCACCTGGAACACGATGGGATTACAAATTTTGTAATCTTATTAATGTTAGGCTTTCTAACAACCTCCAGGACAATCACACCTTATTAAACAAACATATTTATAAGAATATATAATTTATTTATTAGGAATATCATATTTATAAGATTATACAAGTATATGTCTGCTGTAAATCTCATTTTAAGAACCAGTGCTATATTGCAAAACCTAAAGAGCTACTATGAGACATGAAAAAAAATGTTGGTTTTAATAAAACATTTCACATTGTTCAGAGTAATTAAGAATTTATTATATTACCCTGTTAGCTTAGCAACAAGCTAAAGTCAAACTATCTCTATAGAGCTAGAGCTATATCTAGTCAGAACTAATGACATTCCATCAGAGTTGGTATTGATTTTGATGAAGTACTTACTTCTTTGCCATTAAAAAAAGTGTAGCTTTACAAAATATATGGCTGAACTTCTTGCAAAGAAACTGAAGTAAAATTGTTACTCATTAAAAAGAAAGTGCCTTTCTTCTGATTTTGTGAAATAGGAAAATCAAAAGGTGAGACTTTATGGATGGAAATTCAGCCATTACAGCAGAAAAGGCAGATAGCAATTGCACAAACTACAAAAAGTACAAAAAGAAAAAAAAACAGTGCAGTGTGTAAAATGTGTACAATACATCATATCAAAATGCAATATAACAAAATTGCATTTAAATGATGATCAATGATGATAAATACAGGCCAGCTGCTCACTGCTTGGTAACATTCTGTTTGGCTTTTCTTTATTGTATAAATCCAAGTCATATCTTATTCTTTAAATACTATTTTAAATCCAGTCAGTTTAGTTTTCCAAAAAAAACTTCATTTTTATGTATATCTATATATTACTATAGCTTTTAATTTCCTACTTATTTCTGTTTTTCTTAGTATAAGTTGAATATACAGTTTATACACAATGAAGAGTTCATCATTAGGTTAGTAATTATGGAATTGATTTGTTTTTAATGCCAGATAGAGACTTGCAATTGAATTAATCTTGCCAAAAGATCAAATAAGGAATCAAATACATGCCAACTAACCACATGAAACAGAAAAATAATTGGTAACACTTTACAATATGGGTGCACAAATATGCATTAATTCATACTTAACTAATCCACAGATAATCACAAGTTAATGTATAACTCATGAAGAGCTAAACCATTTATTAATGATTACTACATCAGCAACTAATGAGCATTCTATATGATTCATGGATTAAATAATAAATAAATAGTTATTAGTTAAATTTGTCATAATGTATTAGTTCCCTAATAACATATCATATTAACTAATGATGTAAAAATTCAGTGGTCAAAGCTATGTACTTCAACTTCCAGTTGTCTGCTTTAATTAATCATTAGCTAATGATTTGCAAAGGCATCATTATATTATGACTTTACTTGTTGAGGCACAGAACTATTAACTAATTTTTAAGAAATATATCATTGTGATTATGCAGGGATTTAGAATTAGTTAGTTAGTTAGTCATGCGCCTCAACAAGTCATAACATAATTGTATTTTTGCAAATCATTAGCTAATGATTAATTAAAGGAACTTAATTAAACTGGAATGTGAAATGCATGGCATCGACCCATTGTGGTAATTAGCACATGAATTTACACCATTACTTAAATACAATATGTTATTAGGGAATGAATACAATATGACACATTTAACTAATAACAATTTATTGATTACTTAATCTATGAATCAGTTAGAATGTTCATTAGTTGCTGATGCAGTAATTATTAATAAATTATTTAGTTCTTCGTGAGTTTTATATTAACTCATGATTATCTGTGCATTAGTTATGCATGAATTAATGCATATTAATGCCACCGAGTTGTAAAGTGTTACCAAATAATTAATTACTTTCCTCTAGATTGTCTTAACAGGACTAAGAGTTCTGTTCTTGTTATATAAGTTGTCAGAAGTCCGTAACTCACTCCAACACTTTTCCACAAACCCGTTTCAACTGCTGGATGAGTGGGGTAAGAATATATGTCTGTCAACTCAGCATAGCTGAAGCCTACAGGGAACACAGCCTTACACTGTGCTCTTACACTGTAACCCATGCTATAAGAAGCCACTTTTCTGGATTTTACACTGCAAAAATTTTACCACTGAATCAAGATGGTAAAGGCAAGATTTTCTGCAGGAATGCAAATGAGGCTGAGCTCACAAAATAAATGAGTTCCAAGAAAACAGCATTATGCCACATATACACACACATACATGCAAACTGAGAAAGGAGAATCTTACTGAGCTGTAGAGGAAGCCCTCTGCATTCATGCCGATGTAGAAACCTGCTTTAACTCCCTGAATGGCCACCACCCTTAAGCCGACAGGGATGAGATTGAAAAGAGCTAGGGAAAACAAAGAGTAAACATTACAAAACAATAGGTTTGGAACTGCTTGAACCACACTGGGAAAAGTGATAAACTATTAACTAATCTAGCATTTCTGATAGAAACTATGGGATCTATAAAAGGTGTTAATTGGGTTACTGAGTAATGGTGAAGGTAAACAGTATGGATGAGAGTGGGGTAATCTGTGCAACGTTTTACTTAGGCTGTCATCTAATCAAGGAGAATAGAGATAAAGGTAATATCTATAATTATCCATTAATACATCCATATTAATATGTCTGCAACATACAGTTAGGTCCATATATATTTGGACACAGGCAAAATATTTATTATTTTAGCTGTTGACCGAAACATATTAATGTTACAGGTATATAATGAATATGGACTTAATGTGAACACTCTGAGCTTTAATTTGAGGGTACTCTCAAAGTTTAAGGAATTACAGCTCTTTAATATGTACCTGCCCCTTTTTCAAGGAACCATAATTAATTGGACAACTGACTCAAAAGCTGTTTCATTAACAGTCATGGGGGTCCGTGTATGCGTTAAGAATCCATACAACTGCAGCAGTGGAGGACTATTATTCTGCTGCGTGATACTCAGCAAAATTGAAAAAAAAACGGCAAATTTTCGTTTTTCATTTGTTCAAACAAAACGAAAAATCAAGAATTCTGCTTCATTTTTCGTTTTTACGTTCAGGGACAGAAAAGGAGTAAACTACTTGAATATTCGTGAAACGCCCCTCTACGCTGATTGGTCAACCAAACATTACAACATAATACTAGTCCTTAAAAACATAATAAGAGTCCTCCGCTTCTACGGATTCTTGACATGTTTATTATTTCTACTACATTTGATCTCTTTCTCTTCATCAAACAGCCATATTAACGAATGGCTTGACACAAACCATTCAAACCAAAATTTTTTTTTTTTTTTCAATTTTTCAGATTTCAATATTAAATTAAAAAACGAATTATACATAGGTACACGGACCCATGGGCTATTCCTTCATTATTTCTACATCATTTAAGCAGGTACAAGTTCTGGAGTTGATTCTAAGTGTGCCATTTGCATTTGGAAGCTGTTGTTGTGAACCCACATCATGCGGTCAAAGGCGCTCTCCATGCAAGTGAAACAGACAATTGTTAGGTTTCAAAATCAAAACAAATCCATCAGAGAGATAGGAGGAACATTAGGAGTGGTCAAATCAACAGTTTGGTACATTCTGAGGGAAAAAAGAATGCACTGGTGAGCTCAGCAACATAAAAAGGCCTGAATGTCCATGGAGGACAACAGTGGTGGATAATCAGATGATCCTCTCCAAGGTAAAGAAAAACCCTTTCACAACATCCAGCCAAGTGAAGAACACTCTCCAGGTAGGTGTGTCACTGTTAAAGTCTACAATCAAGAGAAGACTTCACAAAAGCAAATATAGAAGGTTCGCCACAAGGTGCAAACAAGGCCAGATTTGACTTTGCCAAAAAAACATCTTAAAAAAGCCAGACCACTTCTGGAAAAGCATTCTTTGGATGGCTGAAATTAAGATCAACCTGAATGACGGGAAGAAAAAGTATGGAGAAGACTTGAAACAGCTCATGATCAAAAGCATACAACATCATCTGTGAAACATGGTAGAGCAGTGTGATGGCATGAGCATGCATGGCTTCCAGTGGCACTGGGTTACTGGTGTTTATTGATGACGTGACAGAGGACAGAATCAGCCGGATTAATTCTGAAGTGTACATAGATATACTCTCTGCGCTGATTCGGCCGAATGCAGAAAAGTTGATTGGACGATGACCCCCCAAAAAAAACAGCAAAAGCAACCCAGGAGTTTTTGAAGGTAAAAAGTGAAATATTCTAAAATGGCCAAGTCAATCTCCTGATCTCAATCTGAATGAACATGAATTTAACTTGCTAAAGACAAAACTAAAGGCAGAAAGACCCACAAACAAATAACAACTGAAGTCAGCTGCAGTAAAGGCCTGGCAAAGCATCACAAAGGAGGAAGCCAAGTCTCTGGTGAGGTCCATGATTTCCATACTTAAGGCAGTCATTTCCTGCAAAAGATTTCCAATGAAACATTAAAAATGAACATTTTATTTATGATTATATTTATTTGTCCAATTACATTTGAGCCCCTGAAAATGGTTGTAATTCCTAAGCATTTTATGTTATATTTTTGCTCAACTCCTTGAATTATAGCTTAAAATCTGCACTTCAATTTCATCTTGTTTGTTTTATTTTAATTCTATTCTGGTGGCATACAGAGCCGAAATTACGAAAATTCTGTCAGTGACCAAAAATATATGGACCTGACGGTATAGCATTGAAATATGACTTCTACAAAAGTGGTCAAACAAGTTTGTCCAACAAGTAATGTCAAGAGGTAAGATAAAAGATTTGCAATTCAAACAAAAATACATTATTTAATTTCGAAGTCTTACTGTAGTCAAGTTTTCTGAACCATAAACTACCTAGGAAAATGTTTAATATTCAGAATATTTAAATGCATTAAAACCCTTGTTCAACCATTTTTGTTTTTAACTTGAATCTTTATATACTGTAAAAAATTATATGATGAAAAAGCCATGACAACTTATGTTTTTAAGTTACTTTAACTCATAAAAATAATTTAAGCAATTTAAACTTTTTTTATAAGTTATACTAGATTCAACTTGATTTTTAAAGTCAGTTTAACATTACTGAAAGTCAAGGAGTCCAATTTAGTTAAGTGAACTTAACATTTGAAGTTGTAGCTTATTGGCAGTGGCACTACCGGCCAAATCTCTACGGTGGCCGAGAGAACTCAACGCGCTGCAACTTAAGAAAACACATGCAAATTGAAAAACACAAGCAAATTAAGAAAACATCTCCATCAGTTTGACAATACACGCGCTGCAAATCCTCACAGCACATGCAAATGAAGAAACACGCTGCAAATCCTCACAACACATGCAAATGAAGAAACGCGCGGTAAATCTTGTTTTTGTTTTGTTTGATGACACCTGGTCATCACCCGCCGTTCTAGGGGCATTCTCTACGACAAAGCTTACATCTGGCCCACATGAACTGCAAAATCTTGGCAAAGTCAGCCATTGGATGCCACAGAAAGGGCAATACATTTTGATCTGAAAAACAAAAACAAGTTGACTGAAGTTTGCACGTTGTATTTGTATTCCATTGTCCTTTCTTTCATTAGCCTACTAAAAGGCCCTGATTCAATTATAATTTTAAATATTATTCTTACTGTCAATCTGCAATTTATTTTGACTTGGTTTTAACAATTAATGAAGCATTGCGGATTTCATTAACCTTGAAATTTTAATTAAGTTAGCCATCTTATATAACGTTTCACAGTTACTCGTGTAATTCGTCAGATTATTTAGGCTAATAATATCTAAAAGACAAAGGAATCATGCAATCAGGGTGTTAAAATAAACAAAAAAAACACTCATCTTTCAGTTCACCAACAACTCCACTGACCAATAGCCACTGCACAAATTGTATGCCCAATTTTAGGATTTTTTGTATTGATTTGAAATTATTTTATGAATCTCTCTGCTCATCACTTATTAAGAAAGCTGTTAAAGCTACTGTATTGATGGAAAAATATTGACTTTGATGTAAGGGTTTCCTCCTGTGTATTCTTTGAAGTTGACATTTTATGTGTAATTTTCCATTTAAGTTATTTTTATTTTTATTTATTTATGATTTATTTATTTAAAAAAAGAAAAGATGTTTAACTTTTTATTTATTTGTTTTTGTTCTGTTTATATTTCATTTTTATTCTTCTTTATATATTTATTGTTTTGTATTCTGGTTGTGTATGTAATTTATTGCTATGACTGTATCCCCTGTGAATGTTATATCTTCAATAAAAAAATAAAAAAATTTAAAAAAAGGAATCACTAGCAGAAACTCAAAAAAAAAAAAGCCACGGCACAAAACAAATCCCAGCCGGGTCCGTCACTTTTTTGGGTCCCCTTGAAACATTTCCGTTGTGGTCCGTGCTATTTGCAGATGTTTTCTTAATTTGCTGGTGTTTTTTCAATTTGCATGTGTTTTCTTAAGTTGCAGCGCGTTGAGCTCTCTCGGCCACCGTAGGGTACGCATGTAGTGTGAGCTAACCACGCCAGAGCGCAGAACTTTTGATACGTGCAGCATGATTGCGTTACCATTTCTGAGAGGCAAAAGTTATAGATCTGTAAAGCAATATTGTGAGAGGGCCGTGTGTTACCGCATCCCAATAAACCACAAAGTTAACAAAACAATGCACTTCACTGTGCTGAGCAAGAGCACTTCTCCGCAGCCTTCACAGCTTCCGAAATTTCACATTTACCAATTATGAAGTCATACCAGCACGTTGCATTTTTTTCTGTTAAAAATAAAAGTGAACAGTGGTTTGTGAATGTTGATGCTTAGCCTAAATAATTTTATCGGTAGCGTTCATGTGAACGCTGCAGTCTTAGGCCCACCCCAAATGCTCTCAATGGTTGAGACACGTGATGACACCCATCCCAAGGCAGTACTGATCAACATCCCACCCCCTCCTGTGACCCATGGTTTGGCTGTATGTGAATTCAGAGCCAGTGGGCTTTCAAAATAATGATAGTGATAAAAACTGTGTTAATGCGCGATAAAATAATTGTCGGCATTAATTAATTAATACGTTAATGCGATAATAACGCATTAACTTGCCCAGCCCTAATATATATATATCAGTGGCGTGCGGTGGTGTTTTAAAATGAGGAGGCAGTTATATAGGCCTATATATATATGTCCCTGTTACGCTTAATGTGGTCACATTTTCCTGTTTAAATAAATGTTACATAAAAAAGAGAACAAATATTATTCTATTTTGTATTTTATTCATATTATTTTTTCTTTTATTTAATATTTTAATATCAATTATACATTTCAAAGTGTTTTTATGCATTTTTATATTTATTCCAAAATAACAACTAAAGGCAGTAACAATTTGAACAATATTTTGG